TTGTTGCTTTTTGTTGGGTTATTCCTCATCTGTTACAGTGCATTAACATTTGCACTGGTGTGGCTTGGTGGGGAATTAGGAATTAGTGTAGGAAGGCTCTGTTCCAGCTGCCAGCTAAAGTGACTTTATCGTAGAGAAAAAGTCAGACTTTAGGATTATAAAAGGTGTGGCAAGTCACAGAGCAAGACTAAAAGAGCGTTGTCAGGTGGTGAACCTTGTAATGCCCACGAACAACTTCGTATTTCAAATTATCTGAACATTCTGCAGTTCTTCCCACGGGACTACTCGTAGAGCGTGTTCCTGTGGAGACACGACAGACTTGCCAGTGGCGGGGATGTGTTGCCAGGTTAGCCGGGGTTGCAACCTGAACGTGCTGGTTGGTCTGCGTTGACGCTGTCCCGTGAAGAATTCCGTTCTGTACCTGGAGGGCCTTTTCGCATCATTTGCTTCCCGAGTGATTTAACGGAGCTGCACAAAGGTGTTCTCGGTGTGGGCTGTTCTTTGCACGGAGACGTAAAGCTCAGCGCTCCTTCTGGGCTGTTTCCCTGAAGGGACAAGACCTCAGGGAAGCTGGACTTAACTAAAGCAGTAGGTCCATGAGTGATACGTCCTCTATGGAGCGTCACTGTCAGAGGGTGGGCGGTCTTTGTGCTGTAATCCCTTTACAGCATAAGGTCATTTTACTTCTGCACAACGTGGTCCTCACAGAGGATTAATACCCTTGTGTACCCGTATCAAATACATCCGCATCGTTAGGCTTGCCTTTGCAGTCTCCCTGGTTTGCTGTTTTGGCAAACTTTTGGAAGTGTCAGCAAATCGTAGCTCTTTGCACGACAAGGACCTTTGTTCGTCCCATCCGTGGTAGACATTCGGCTCAGAAAAACGCGCTAATAGCGGTTGTATAAAAGAATGTATGTTTGTAACAGAAATGACATAGTTGAAAACTGGCCTTGATTGATTCAAAGGAAAAGTGAAATGAAGAGGAGGGAAGAACATTTGGGGCTTTTGGGTTGGGCGAAGTAAAATGGCATCCTTCAGCTCTTGTCACACAGTCACAAGTAGGGTTTTGTCATGGTGCAAGCTGAAGTGTGAGGGAAGCTTTGTCATTTATTGATAGTGCTGAGAAATACTAGCCAGGAGAGTGATTAGCTGCTTGAGTAAGAGAAGTTCAATTAAACACTTTAAGAGGACTACAGCTTTGGAAAATGTTTTTTGAAAGGATAGTGTTTACCCTCACTGATTAGTATGAGGGAGAAGATTTGTATTTTCTGCGTGTTTTTATATGTTAACAAGGCGTTGGGTGTTTCTGATTATACACTTTGGAAGGATGCCCTGTGACTTTGTAAAGCCATCAGATATTTCAGTAAATAGGCTTGTTTACAAGGGACTGCTCAGAAGAATTATTCTGAATTAATGTTTTAAAATAGATTAATTAAATTGCATTAAACTTGTGTGTGGAAAAGCTAATCTGGAATTCAGGTGAAGTAATTCAGTTGCTTACAAATATCAATTTACTTAATTAAGCAAAGGCTACTTTAATTCTGTGTTAAGTGTTTCAATTCTGAGTAAGAGGGTCGGCAGAGATATTATCTCATCTGCTTTAAACGTACACCTTTAGTTGTCTCTGGTTAGTTTTTCTGGGTGGTGCTGTGCTAGAGCCAGCACCCTGCAAGGGGGTGTCGGAGTGCCCTAGGCTTTTTGCCCCCCTTGCTGGCTTTGTTTCTGGATGTGAAAGAGCAAGAACGGGGAGGAGCATTTGTCTCTACTTTCAAGTTGTCGTACACAGAGAGGGAATGGGTTTCTGGAGGGTTTGTTAAGCAAGGGTTGCCGAAGTAGTGCCTGGCCTGGGGTGGGGAAAGGGTGGACAGTGAAAGAGCTGATCTGGGAACGGACTACTTGATTGATGCAAGAGGTCTGCAGGGTTAGAAACGCTTGAGATTTGGAGGCACCCAGGACTGAGGTGGGAGCAAATCCCGCTGCCACACACCGTAACTTGTTTTCCAGTTCTTGCCTTGGGTAAGAGGTGAAGCAGTCTCTTCCAACTCCCAAAAAAGCCCTCTGGGAGAAGCGATGTGTGCAGTGTAGATCCCCCCCCTAAAGAGCTCAGCTGGAGTCCGCTTGGGTTTGGCTGGCCAAGGCCTCCTGTAGCGCCTGTGTTAACGAGGTATTTTCCATTGTCAGGTATAAGCTGTCTTCCTGTTCCCCTCCCCCAGATAATGGCAAATCGACTCTGAAATATGGCTCTGTTGATCCAACTTCCACGTGCTGGTTGGGGGAGAAAAAGGGGGCACATTTCATGTTCCTGTTGTAGTTTATCCTCGGCTTCCTGGCTTTCTGTTAATATTTCTTTTTTATAGCTCAGTATTTGTTCCAGGTAATATTTCAGCATTGGCTGCTTGATGCCAATGTACATACACTTAATTCAGAATTAATGGGGAGTAGGGTTTCAGCCAGAAGAAAGAAAGGAGGAAAAGAAAAAAAAAAAAAAAAAAGAAGCCTGGGAACATTCAAGGAAAGAAGTGTTTTACGTGAGGAAATGCTGGTAAACACTTCACTGAGTAAAATATGTGGAAACTATATTGGCAACGTTATTCTGAATTTGTTGACTGGGGCTTTTTAAAGCCGATAAACTAATCTAACGCTAACTCTAATCCTGTTAAATTTTATCAGGCTTTTACCCTTGGTTCTGAAGGCAAGGTTAGACCTTGCTAAAATTTTCTGTTATAAATTGAGATTCGGAATTTGGAAGAGGGGCGTTTTATTCGAGCTGTGATAGCCGCTGTCGTTGCAGTACCCAGTGTAGCTGACTTGGGCATTGCTTTCCTAATCCACACATCTAGCGTGAATAGCAAATTTAGTTGTTTTCCCCTTATGTTTTGGTACAGGAGCTCACTGCGTCTGGTGACAGCAGAAGTATATTTTGTTCTGCCTGTTGAGAAGGCAGAAATGTGTTCCATCAGGATGTTGGCTAATTGCCTGTGAGCTCTGTCTGACTTATTGAAGTTGTAATAAAATTTGCTTAAATGGAAATAAATACTAATGTTGTGAAGACACATTGCTGTGTGTGTGTAGTAGCTGTTCTGCCAGTCACAGTTTGGTGGTTGTGCCCTTGTTTCAAGGCTCTGCGACAGAATATTTTGGTACTTTTCTGATGTGAGGTTGAACGCTTTCAGACTGTGGCCTGTGAGAGGTGGAGAACAGATGTCAGAAGTGTGAAATTGTTTTTTTGTTTGTGTTGAAGAAAGGTTTAATTAATTTTTCTATAATGAATTTTGGAAGGAAGGCTAAATCTGTGCATCACCTGAAGTATTAAAGTGGATTTAAAAGCATTGCAAATCCTTTGGAATGTTGTATGAAATATTGGTGTATTTGTAGCTATAACTGGTTTCGATGCAACGCATCGGTGAAATCTTGAATCATGTAAATAGACAAAGTCTTAGAAGTCGGGGTTTGTATTGGTTGTCCTTTTTTAGGGTTTGGAGCGGCGGATGTCTTCCTTCAAGTTGAGGGCAGGGTTCTTAGCACGACCAGCAGTATGTAACGTTATGAAACAGTCGCTGCAGCACAGCTGTTTTATTATGTTAAGCCTGGCCCGTTACCAGGATTTCTCAGAAATGGCAAGTGTAATTTGCCAAAATGGCATCCATATGCACTAATGGGTTGCCAGTTTTTTTGGGCGTGCTGCCACAGTCTGTGCTGTCCCAGCAGTTTTTCACCACGATCAGAATTTCACATGACTCAGTATTGGCAGCGCTGGTATTTTGAGTAAACAGTGCTGATGTGTGGGGAGTCCTTGTGAGGTGGGCTTTCGCGGCGCGCAGCGGTTGCTCAGGCCAGTCTCAAAATTCTTCTGTGGGTTGTGTTGCGCTCTCGAAAAGTTTGCACTCCACCTGTCTGCCTTAATGGCTTTCTTGTGCTCCAGGGGAAGAGGAAAATCTTTATGCATAGTTGGATTTGATTCAGTGTTAAGGGATGAATTACCGTTTCCATTGGTAAACCTCAAATTATCTCTCCAGTGTGTTTTCCTTCAGGTTAAAAGGGAAAAAATGGACTGATCTCTTGGTATTTGTTGTTTATCCTTTTGTAAACTGTGGGAAAGCGCAGCTATGAATGGTTCCAGTGATTTTAATGCAATTTTACAGGCTGAAGGTTTCTCTTAAAAGACTAATAAATAACCTTGACAGATAATTTGAAGGGAGCACGGCTGAGAAATATTTTGGCTTTAAAATCAGGACCATATTCTGAAAATAGTTTAACCAGAATTGAGCTGTAGAAAAACCAGGCAAGGTCAATAGCAGAGGAAAAAGGAGTCAAATTTTGCTTCAAGTCTCGTTAGCTGCGAGGAAGCTCCCTGTTCTCACCGAATGGTTTTGAAGATTTGAGAGGCCTGTTAAGATTCGTACCCGGCAGGATCTTGTGTGCATCGAGATCGGTACAGAATGCAGTAATTGCCAGTCTAACGTGGCTTGGGAGCTTCATGTGCTTTTGTGTCACCAAGACTACTACTAAAGTCTGATTGATTAATAACTTGCAGGATTTTAACTTACAATTTAGGAATGGTCTTGTACGCTCTTAAAACTTCTGCAACAGAAAATCAATTGAAAAGAAAACACTTTCTTTTGTGTTTTATACTGATGAGCTGCCAAATCTCTGAAATTAAACGTTCCCCTTAGCCATTGGGAAAATGCAGAAAGGGGGATCGGCAAGGAAAGCTTGAGCTGTTGGCTCAGTCCCGGTGTAGGAAGGTTTGCTGTAGAGGTGACTGAGTAAAGTAGCCGTTGGTACCACTGGGTGATCACTTTGTAGGTTGGTCAGTTCTTTTAGGAGCTGCATCTCCTTTTGTAGAGGAAGAGTGACAAGATGAAGGCAGGCAGTCTTGGTATATCAAGTGTATCTGTATTAACACTCTTCTTGCTGCTGTTTTTCAGGATTGCATGACTTGTAAGAGCGCTTATTTGGGGACCTGCAGTGGTTGACTGGATATTGCTGCCTGGTTCTGAATGATGTCAGAACAGGATTTGGCAGATGTCGTTCAGATTGCTGTGGAAGACTTGACTCCAGATAACCCAGGTACAACAGAGATGCTCGTGATGGCATGAGAAAGATCGTTTATGGTGTTGCTCATTGACAAGGTGGAAATCACTGTTAAGCTTTTCTTAAAACCACAGATTTTTTACAAACGTAAAAATACAATTCTTAAAAATACTGCTGCAGATTTTTTCTGCTGAGAGGTGCTGCTTAAGACTCCATACCAGGTTTGCAAGAGCCTGACTTGTATGTCTTCAAAGTGCTTTAGATCATTTTTTTTTTTTTAATTTTACTTTTCTTTTAAAGGCTTTATTGCCTGGGGCTTTTTTTGCGCAGGGGTAGAATAGTGCCAAAATCTTTGAATGAAATGTGGCCTCCTGCAACCTTTGTTTTTCTCCAGACCAAATATATGTTTTAGGCTTTCCCTCAAATGAGAACTGTCACCCATCTATTTTGAATCGTTGTTCTACTTGTAAATTAGTTTCTCTCATCCATTATTCAAGTTCTTCGTATGGCAAAATTATAGTCAAATTGAAAAACACTTCTGAAAGCCGATACTGTGATATCCCTTGCGTAGATCTTGACCTCTGAGGAAAGATGTGTTGAGATCAGCTGTAGACATTGATCCTGTGCTCCCGTTACATGTGAGCGATGAACGAACAGTAACTACGGTTATGGAAAACAGAAACACGTAGCAAAAAACTTCTTTTCTGATGCGCAACAAGAAAGTTACTTCAGAAATGGTCCCAGAGAGTTGGAGGAGAAGGTGGGACCTGTCTGTCCAAGCCTAGCTGGTAACGTGGTGTTCAGGCTGGGCGGCTGTGGCGCGGTCAGCCTTCGGCCAGCCTGCCTTTGCGCAGTCCGGTGGAGGAGCTCCAGCCTGGACCCATCTCGGGTGATGCTCGGACCGTGAGGCCTCTACCTCTTGATTCCACCAGCCAGGCTTTCCAGTTTGAAATTCGGCTCTTTTTTGTTGCTGTTTTCTTCAAATTGGTTCCCTTTAGACGAAAGGCTCTTAGAACCTGTAGGTCTGCGTATGTAAGTATTTATTTTGGAAAGCCTGCAGGATTTTGTTCCTCTGCGCTGGGGAAAACCAGCCCGCTACTACACTGAGTAGTGGGTGTAATTCTGTCCTTGTACGGAACTTCATTAGTACTTTTTGTGGTTTTGTAAGAACCTGAGAAGCCTGTAGGATCTGTCAAAGCAGGACAGCTCAAACAGCGGCAACTCTGCTGCCTCGCGGTAAGTTCCTAATAAATGCAGTGCTTGTGTGCATTTGAGGAAAAAGTCTGGGTTTGGATAGATGCTTTTGAGAAGCAGTAAACCATTGTCATATATTTAAGAGAAAACTCAAGTAAAAGAATACTTGCGATATGTTAATTAAATTCATTTTACACTTTTTTTGTTTTATCCATTTAATGTATTTTTAATTTGGCCCTTGTCCTCCTGTATTATAAACTATGGCAACGTTTATTTTTCTTTGCAGTTGTGTTGGAGAATCATGAAGTGACAGATGATGATGTAGAGCCTGCTCTGAAACGTCAGCGTATAGAAATTAACTGCCAGGATCCCTCTATTAAGGTTACGATAATGCCTTTTTCTTCTTAACAGCAATTAAGTTAGCTTTCTTAGGGAAATGTATTAAAAGAAAAGAATATAAAATAAACTGTTTATATATAATAATGGAATTATTCATAGCCTTCTTGTAAATGTTTATTCATTTTTGTGCATGAGTTCTAAAATCTGGCTGATTGGCTATTTTCCAGTGTAAAATCAGTAGCAAGAATTACATGCAATATAAAAAGTCATCAGAACTAATTCCAGTGCCTCAAACATTGGTATGGTTTTTGATAAAGTCAATAAAAATGACCTAAAAGGTTAACTTGACCATGTATTTGTGTTACCATTTTTAGATACTTTTCAGCATGTTTTACGCTATTATTTTAAGCTAATAACATTCTCTGAATAGTTAAACCATATTTAGTTCAGGCTCAGTAGCTCAGGCTTTTCTGTTTTTGCAGGACTTCCCCTGCTGTTCTCACTAGTGTGCTTTAGGGTCTTGGAGCATAAGTATTTGAGTAGTATTTTGCTGCCGCACGCATTTAGTAGGGTGTAATTCTGTATTTTTGAAGTGGTCGTAGGAACTGAAGCTCTGTAGTGAAAGAGCAGCAGGGGAGCAGCACTGTAAACCAGCCTGAGTAGGTGTGGAAGTTGTAACGGAGGGCCACAAGATGGCACAGTTGCTGTTTGCAAAGGAGGATGTGTGTAGCGTTACCCTTTAACGGCCTGCTTTTCCCAAGAAAAACCGAGTAGAACATGCTTCCTTTTGAATAAATTTTCTTAAGAAAACAGATTTTTATTTATTTGCTTTTCTTGATTTGTAGTTCAGGAGAAAACTTAAGTGAGTGGCATTAATTGTCTCTGAGGTTATTTGTGTTGATACAATTTCCGCTGTGATCATCCAAATTTATCTGTTTGGGCAGGAAAAAATCTTACTTAACGTTATCCCGGAGGATGCATTCATAGATTTATAATCCTTTTGGTTTTACATGTATCGAATGAAAGCCTTTGGCATATCATTTTGAATGATTTTGTGGTGTATGAAATCATAGTAACAAAGTGCTTAGGTGAAAATGTGTTTGGCTTGGACTCTTTTGGCTTCTAAATAAAGATCTGGAAGAATTTGAGAATGCTAAAGTGCTCCTCGATGTCATCAGTTTTGTACGGCTGAATTTTGTCACTAGGCACGCCGCTAGTTCCTTCAGAATTGTTTTCCAGCCCCATTTATCTGGAGCTTCCTTACGTGTGTGTCGCTGAAGATAAATGCGTACGTCTTTAAAATCAGTTTATTTTGCATTTTCCCCTTTCTAGTCATTCCTGTATTCCATTAATCAGACGATATGCCTGCGGTTGGATAGCATTGAGGCAAAGTTGCTGGCACTAGAGGCTACCTGTAAATCACTGGAAGAGAAGTTGGATCTCGTCATGAACAAACAGCACAGCCCCATCCAAGTCCCCATGGTGGCAGGTTCTCCTCTTGGCGCTACGCAGACGTGCAATAAAGTGCGATGGTAAGGAAAGAACAGATTGCTCATCGACGTGCTTTTTAAAATAATGTAAATCCAGTTCCTTGGCATCAAGCTCTGCAGCTTCCTGTGTAGCTGTCAAGAGCTCGATAACGCTGTTTACGAACGTAGAATTAATTTATCTTGAAGGTAGTTTTTGCACCAGTTTCATGATGTTACTTAGAATGAGACGCTGGTCCATGGACGGTTTGCAACTATTTCCGCGTTTCATTTTGACTTAAACCAGACTGATTCAGCCATCCCCTGGAAAAGTCTCATCAGCTATTTTAGACAGGTTTTTTAGACTTGCTTTATGTTTATTTATGCGGCTGTTTTGAGTGAATGAGTTCATCATCATTCTAATTGCTTCTCCTTTTACTTTTATTCACCAGAAATACAAAGGAGTTTGGTTTATGTGCTTGTTTTCCAAAGACTCGTGCTAGTGTAGTATCTGTGCTTATTTGGGGGTTAGACGTTGGAGATGGAAAAGCCGGTAAATAATCCCATCCACTGATGAGAGAGCGGGTTTGACCTGCAGTACCTTTGTGTGTGAGTTGCCTGATACGCTTTAAAATACCTAAATCTTGGTGTGCCTGTTGCTTTACCGTGGAGAGAGTTCCAGCCAGAGAGAGATGCTTATCCAAAGACTTTTTTGTCTGACAACTTTTTCTTCCTCATTCACATATTCTGATAGCTAGAAGAAACTTAATACTTCTCTAAATAATTACTCTTTATTCTCCATTACAGAGGTCTGTAGGCAGCTTTCACGTGTTGTACCATTCTAGCCGAGATGTACTAACTTAATTCACCTTTTGTCAGTCTATTTTTCCATCTTCTGATCTTTCTCTCTCTGAAAATGATTTTCAATATATTTTTGGTACGTTACACTCAGTGCAGTGTTGCGGGTGCCCTACACCAGAGCTCCATAGAAAAAATTAGTTCCTTGCTTTATGTCATGGGACTCATCCATGCGAGGTGAGGGGAAAAAACCCAGACCACCACCAACATTACCTTTTTTCTACCAGGCTGCTACTTCTCCCTGCTGTTTTTTTTTTTTCACTGTCAGTATTGCTGTTTTTATAATATGTATTTTAAGTTTAAAACATTTATCTCAAGGTCATGATCACGTTTTGTTACGTTGCCTTTCAGTTCATGCATTAATGAGGCAGGATGGGTTATAACCTTACTGCCATAAGGGTTCAGAGTTGGAGATTTTGGGGCGAGAGGGATACCTTCTGCTCACGTAGCTCTACCTGTTGCGTAGTGCAGGCTGTTACCTCACCATTGGTCATTGAACATGATGACTTCTGATGAACGTAGTCTAAAATTTTTAAGTTACCTTATTTGTATATAAAAATGTACAATGTTACAGAACCCCACGTGTTTCTTGATCTCTGTTTTAACAGTTTAGATGTCCCTTATATTTGCAGTGTGGATTTGAGTACTCTCTGCTGCTTTTGCTGTAGCGGTCACCTGTGCAGTTAGGAACAGCTGATGCCCTCAAACTTTTCCCAAGCGACTTTCCTTTTTAGATGTCCAGATACAACGTTTGGGCGCCAGTTCAGAATTCCTTTATTGGTTCTTGTTCTTGTGCTGGTGATGAACGTCGTGACCGTGGGACATCCTCCTTTTCCCTTTCTCCGTTTAATTTTTCTTTAAATTAGGTCCCGTGTCTACATCTACCTGTGCTTTTGAAGGCTTCCCAGTATTCCATTGAAAAGGTCAATTGTGGCTAAGTTCTATATCAAACGAAGTAAAGTGCATGGGATAGCTGTTTGGATCGTAGAGCAAGTAACTAGAATATTACACCAGTTTTTGCTGAATACTCTTTATCAATAAGTATTCTTCAAGGAACCCTCTTTAAATCTGTTATTAATTTTTTTGTCGTTATAGTAGAGATTTTCAAGTTCTTGTGAATAAGCTGAACTTCTTGCTGCGGTTTGTGCACAAAAGACTTAAAAACATTTTCAGAAACACACGGCCCCTTTGGGAATCTATTAATTAATGTTCAGTGAATGCTTTCCTCTGTAAATTGTACTACTTTGAGTTTCTTACGGGATTTGTCAGACCTGAGGTCATCTTTTTGTTTTGTTTTAATCTCTGTAACCATCGGAAACTTATCCTGTGCATTAATGGTGAGCCTGGTGTTTGATCTTTGGATTTGGGTGTGCAGATTTATGATGATGGCTTCTCGGACAGCCTGAACGTAATTTAGAGAGAAGTCTCGAAGACTGCAAGATCCTCGGCCCCAAGGATTTGTTAGCGTTGGTATGAAGTTGCACATTATCAGATGCTTCTTGCCAATGAAGGACTGAGGGCTTTTTGTTCTTTTAGGAGTCTGTGGCCTATATGACTCAAAAGAAAATAGTTAGGGGTGTACGTGTTTAACTTGGCATTAGTAACACTTGAGTTTCGCAGCAATAGAATGTTTCACTGAATTCCCCGTCTCTCATTCATAAAAACCTTTATCACTGGTTGATTATTACCAATTAAAGCCTGCAGTGACTGTTCTGTTGTGTCAACTCCCTGTATTGTTCCCTTTCCCCCTCACATTGCAGATGGCAGTGGGGAGCTGCCAGCAAGAGTCAGTGTTTTGGGGAGTGATTTTCAGATTCTGCATCTGAATGAGGTTCTTCAGCCTCCTCCTGCCACCGTAAGAATACTGGGTTTGCCACTGATGGAAATGTTGTCGTTAGCAAAAGCGTGTCAGCCAGATGGTGCTACGCTGCCAGGAAGGCAGACTGCGTGTCTTCGATCAAAACCTTAGCGTTTGTGATCTTTCCTCTTCCGCTCTGTGGTGAACTTTGTTTTCGGTTTTTCTGGTTGTTTGGTGACTTGCCTTAAGGTAGTGCAGGTTTAACATAATCAAAGTTCGTTTTACAGCAGTGCACACGGTGAAGTGTATGAGCCGTGCATTATAAATTCACAGTTTGATCGCTTTGTGCTATTAAAAGGAAATTCATTTCCTGAGACTTGTCGGTTGGAAATACGCTTAGGTCATCGCGTGATGAAAACGAGGACAACTTGGACGGAGGAGCTGCCTTCTCTGCCACCTTGTGGTGGAACTCTGTGGGCACAGCACGCCAGGTGAATTCCCAGCTACGCACTGTGGCCTGCCTTGACTATGATGTGGGATTTTATACTGTGTGCAGCGCTGTACGCTGGCTGCTCGTAAAATGGAGTGATAAAGTGTAATCTATCCATATAGCTGCATTAGGGAGGCAGGAGTCAGATTTACCTTCAATGATAAGTTGTCTTCTCTAGTAAACTTAACACGTTGATTTATTGGCATAACTCATACCTTTCTTTGGTGCCAAACTGTTGTTTCCAAGTTTTAAAAATTCTTATTAGGGAAACGAAGCAGAAGTTTTCAAGGAGACTTGCAATAAATCAGGAACCAGGCGGTGTTAGGAGCTCCCAGGACAGAAACGCAGTGCATTTGAGAGTCTCATTCTGCTCTCTGTATTTTTATTAAACACACGAGGAATGATATGTGTGGAAATCTTCCAACGTCCTATTTTGGATATGTGATTTTTGAAGGCTTGCTGACGTTTCTTGGAAAACTAGGAGATGCTTAATTCGGAAATTACAGTACTGTCTGCTGCTCTCGATATTTTGCGTGAGTAAGTCTTCATGAAAGCTGGATTGTGCTCTCGATTCTTTTGTTCATATTGTTTACTCTGATCCACTGTTATGGTACTTCCTTATATACCAGCTAATTGCAGTGCAGATAGGGGGGAAAATAAAGGGTACGTGGTGCTGTGTAATGAATAATTTGTGTGAACAGTTGAGATACAGAGGAACAATAGGCCAACTTTTAGATCTCCAAGAAAGAAGTTCAAGCTGCAGCAAAAACTAACAGGAGAAAACAGGAAGTAATTCCAAATTTGTCAGATTTGTAAACTGTTTTGGGGGAAACAGCAATAGGCCATAAACAAGATAGAAAGACTTGTAGCTATTGTATTTCAACAAGTCATCACATGAAGAGCGGAGCTAAACAAGTGTCGTTTCACGTAGGTTTTTGTCCGGTGTCCTCTACCTTTTCACTGGATAAGCCTCGTGTTTCCTGTAGGGTTCATGACGCTCCCTGCTCTGGGGTTTTGGGATCTTCCATGCTCTGCCTGGGATAGTAGCATATGTGACTGCTGGAGCTAAGTGCCGTGGGGTGATGGATGAGACGTTCTGTCAGTGGGGTGTAGCCTTCGGGCTTGTCCTTACCCCAGCCTCCGGTTTTGACGGGTGTTTAATATCTCTCAGACCTCCTTCCTTCTGTCGGATCTGGTCCTAAGAGTGCAAAGTATTAGTTGGGATTGGAGAAATACCATGATGTTAAATCTCATTCTCTTTGAGAGGGGGAAAAAAAAAAAGAAAGAGGAGCTTTAGAAAGTATTTTCTCGATGTTTAGTGGCTGCTGCTTAAAAACACGTAGTTGTCAGGATTACCTACAAAGACGTAGTGTAGATAGTTTTAAAAATTTCTTTCTTGAAAGAAAGGCTGTCAGGAGGTTTCAGAACTGGCAGAACGGATGGCAAAACCCCTTAGATTGCATAGAGTTATGTTGAACTATAGGGAGCTTGAAAAGAGCCAAGAACAGTAGCAAAATAATGTAATAAATTAGTAATGGGAGTACGTGTATCGTCCCGGCGTTTTGAGCTTTGTCGGGCTTTGGACAGCAATCGCACAGCCCTGCTTTTCCATCCAGGGAGAGATTGTCTCTCTTCCTCTGTCTGCAACACTTCCTGGCAGTTTGGCTATTAAAACCCTCCAATTTCTTTTCTGTATGAGGTACCATGCTGGTCAAAAATTCCAGGAGCTGCTGAAAGTTTCTTGGATAGGAGCACTGGTGCAGTGCCTGATGGCCTGTCAGTATGGCAGCCTCAAATGATAAGTTTGACATTTACCATGTGCCCAAGTCTTGGGATTTATAAATTGATGAACACGCAGTGTGACAGTGCGACTAAAATCTTTTATCCGCCTTTTGAAGAAAATATTTCATCTGAAAGATT